ATGTCATGGTATGCATCCCTACACACATACACACATGTACACCCACAGAATAAACAAAATGTAGTAGAAGAAAATTCAATGACATGGAAGATTTTTCTGTTTTAACTTGCTGATACGCTGATAGACATATATGGTCAAAGGTTAAGCATGTGGAGTTAACCTTGCAGCTCCAAACAAATCTCACCTGGTTGTGTGTATAGTTCTCTTTCTCTGCTGGTGAGGGCAGGATGTGATGCAGCTGCTGTGGGACTCAGCCCAGTAGTTCCCGAAGAGGCAAAACAGAGCCTTGCGGCCTGGCATTGCACACCCAGCACGTGCTCAGCAGAGTGGAAATCTGTGCCCACCAAAGCAGTTGTGCACATGAGCGTCCCTAGCTGAATAATTCATAATAACCCAAAGTGGAGATGACTCAGATGCCTCACTAAAGATCAGATAAGCTAAGCGTGGTCTAGCCCTGCAGTGGAATGCGACTGAGCCACAAGATAGGAAGAAGAACTGATTCGTGCTGTGACTGTGGATGAACCTTGACAATTTGCCAACCTAAAGGGACAGAGTCAGAGAGCTGCGGCTGTGGCCTGGTCTTGCGCGTATGGAGTGAGCAGGACAGCCACAGCCACAGAAACCAGCTTATCGTGGGGAGATGAAGCAGAGGGAGAAACCAGAAGTGACTGGTAACGGGGACGGGTTTCCTTTTGTGGCGATGACAGACGTGCAGTTAGACAGTGGTTTGGCAGCACACGTGGTAAATATGCTAACACCCAGGGAGCGGTGCACTGTGGAAGTGAGCGCTATGCTGAATTCCTTGTTTTTAAGGAACGAAAAGCAAGAAAAGAAACATAAGAAAATGAAAAGAGAAGGAAGTAACTAGGTAAATGAAATAAAGGAAGGTTTTTTAAAAAGCGAGTTGTAATAGCTGTTCTTAGGGTTCCTCCCCAGTGTAAGAACTGGGGATGGTCTCCGAGTAGAGGAAGGAGGAGGTCTAAGCGAGCACACTGGATGGTGCGATGGAGGTCCAGCATGGTGTGGATTCAGTCAGGGAACCCCATTCTACCCCAAATCCCCACTATTGTGGAGTCCCCTTTTGGACTCAGAGCCTTTTTAAAATATTACAATTAATTATGTGTGGAGTGGGTGGGGAGGGTGAGGTAGGGTGGGAGGAGGGTGAGGTGAGGTAGGTTGAGAGGATGAGGTGGGGTGGGTGGGAGGGTGCGTGTGAACGCGGTTCCCATGGAGAACACAAGAGGATGCTAACTCCCTTGGCACCACTCGACTTGGGTACTGGGAGAGCAGCTCGTAACCTCTGAGCCACCTTGCAAGGGCCCTGGACCCAGAAACAAGTTCCCTTTGTTTCCTTCATGTTTCTCTTAAGGGTCCAGGCATCAAGAGGACTGGGGAGATTTCAGGAGGCTCTGTTTTACTAGTAACAGTTTTGCAGACTCTGTTCCCACCCCCTGCCACTAGAACAAACTTGTTAACTTTCCCAAATTATTTCAAAGTGTGTAACAGCACTGACATTCTTAGGTCAAGACAAAGGATTGAATCTGCTTGCTACCCCTGTTGTACAACTTTGGCCTCCCAGAGAGTTCAGAGTTATCTGGGCCCTCTCGATTCTATGCATCCCGGTGGGTGAAGCTTTTTCAGAACCCCAAACAAATCAGACCTTCTGTGGTCAGAAGCCCAGGGTCCTCTACACATGTTCTTCCCTGGGTCTGGAACATTACCTCCCAGGTTCTAAACCTTTGTGGGTGAAATGTTTCCTTAGAACACAGGATTCCTACCTCTTGTGTCAATCTGCCATCAATAAAACCCTTAAGCATAACTTAGAGACTTTGTGGGCCAAGTAACTGATCTGTTGACTGTCTTGCAGATGGCAAGGATGACGCCACATTTCTGCCTGGCCTTGGGACCTCAGACACCACATCTAAGACCTTTTCTGCCAGGGTCCGGAGAGCCACAACCTCAAGGACAGAGCGGATATGGCCTGGAGGAGTCATTCCTTATGTTATCGGAGGGAATTTTACTGGTCAGTAGCCCTAGATGTGACCTCATTGGAGCCAGTGAGAGAATCCCCCTAGGAGGACTCAGTGGGGATGAGCAGTTGCTAGGACCACAGCAGTCCCACCAGCTAAGGTTCCTTGGTACCTGTGTAGCCTGGCCCTGTCTCTGCTGGCACTGTGTCTCCAGAGGTCTCCCTGTACGGAAGGCTTGGAGGAGAGAGGGGTTTCTTACAATTTAGCCTTAAAGGCTGCAGAGTCTGCTCCATGAACAGCAGGAAGACAGGCATGGAGCTGTCCATGGTGGCTCCCGGCCTCAGCTTGGATTAGCAGCATAGACCTGGTAGTCCCCAGGCACAGGAGCAAGGCTCCACGTGGTAACCAGCGGACACATGGGTGTCATGGTCCGCACAGTAACCAGAAGACACAAAGGTATCACGGTGTCACATGGTGTGGCATGACTTCCTTGTCTGTATCCTGGCTCCACCTCACAAATTGCTTAACATCTCTGTCTGCAGTTCCCTGTTCTATAATGTGGAAGGTGATAGAGAATTAAATGAGGTAATACCAATATCAGCAAGAGTTTTGAAACTCAGGAGCAAACTTTGTCTTAAGACTGTGACTTCCTGTGGAAAGAGGGCATGGTGTGCCCAGGAGTGATGTGACCGGCGGTGCCCTGTTGTTTCAGGCAGCCAGAGGGCCATTTTTAAACAGGCCATGAGACACTGGGAGAAGCACACCTGTGTGACCTTCGTCGAGAGGACAGATGAGGAGAGCTTCATTGTGTTCAGCTACAGGACCTGTGGGTAAGCAGGAAGGCAGAGCCTCCGCAGAGTGCCCGGTGACAGGCACAGGATGTGTGGGGCTGGAACTTCCGGTCACACCATGCGTTTCCTCTGAGCTGTGATTTGTGGGAGGTCAGGGTTTGCTGAGAACACTTGGTCCTCGGTAGAAGCGAGTGAGTTCGGGGTGTGGCTCCAGGAAGACTCTCTGCTGATGGTCCTGTCACCAGGACAGCGTGGCTAATGGCTCATGTGGAGAAAGACTGAGGCCAGTGACTCAGTGGCATAGCGGATGAGGTGGCAGGGCTACTGTCCACTATGCTCCAGTGTCTGAACGTCTGCCATTTTAGAGAGAGCCTTTTCCCCTTTCATATCCCATGTGCCCTTCTACCCCCATCCTCTCTCATCTCCTGATACCCTCTGTCACCATGTTAGACTTTTATAGTTTATTCACATTTACCCTTGTTTATACTTCTACATTACAGGCAGTATAATTACTGACTAGGATCTGTCTGTGAAGGAGAATACACAGATTTTTGTCTTTCTGAGTTAGGGTCGCCTGACTTAATATTATATTTTCTAGATCCACCCGTTTTCCTGATTTTAGTTTCCTTTGTAGCTGAATAGCATTCCATTGTATATACATACCACCTGCAGAGGCCAGAAGTGGGCATCAGATTCCTGGAAGCTGACCTCACAGTCAGTTGTGAGATGCCACCTGGGTGCTGGGAACTAAAGCCAGGTCCTCTGCAAGAGCAGCAACTGCTCTTAACCACTGAATAATCTCTCCTGCCCCTTTGATTTATTTTTTATACCTTTATTGAAGTAGCATAATAAGCTTGGTGCAGTGGCATACACCTGGAATCCCAGCACTTTAGAAGATGAACCTGGGATATTAAGAATTTAAGGTCAGCCTGGGCTACATCATGAGTTCTAGGCTACCCTAGGCTACATAGTTGAACAATAATCCTAAAGGAGTGGAGAGATACCTCAGTGTGTAAGAGTACTTGCCCTGGAATCTTGAGGATCTGTGTTCGAATTCCAGCATTTGATTCTCTGACAAACCCATGTACATGCAAAGGTTTACATACCCTCACACTAATGCACTATCATCACACACACACACACACACACACACGTGTGTGCACATGCACACATACACACATGCACCATCATCATACCATCATCAACAACAAAACAATAACAAAACCTCATAAAGTCATTGTTTACCAGTGTATTAGGAATAATAAATAAATAAATAAATATTTTTTGAAAAAAATAACTGTGCCCAGTATAGACTTCCTCTAAAGCCAAAGACAATGACACCTAGGGGCATCCTTTCCAGAACTCAGCCACCTACTTCTTGTCTCTTTTTGTCCTCAAAGAAGGCCCTATGAACTCACAACTTAGAAGAGAGATGGGCATGGACACATTTCATTCTGGGTAGGAAGGGCATTTCTTTCTTTGGGCTCTAAATGAGGTCTGTGATCACCAAAAGGCCCAGTTGCATTCTGGGGAAATGGTGGTCTTGTTGGGTAAAGTTGGACAATGAAAACACTTCCACCTCTGAAATGCCTTCTCCCTCCCTTCCTCCCCCCTCTTTCTTTCTTTTTTCCTTCCTCCTCCCTTCACCCCCCCTTTTTTAATTTTATATCATGGGTTGCAAGATGAAGTGGGACAGAGCCTGGCCCCCTCCATTGATGTCCTCAGGCCTGCTAATCTCCATGTTTCCATCTACCAGCTGTTGCTCCTATGTGGGACGCAGAGGAGGAGGCCCCCAGGCCATATCCATTGGGAAAAACTGTGACAAGTTTGGAATTGTGGCTCACGAGCTGGGCCACGTGGTTGGGTTCTGGCATGAACACACTCGGCCAGACCGAGATCAGCATGTCACCATCATCAGAGAAAACATCCAGCCAGGTAAGGGATCTTGAGTGAAGTCTCGAAGCCAGCAAGCTTGGGACAGTCACAGGCTTGGGGACAGAGAGAAGAGGCCCTGCTGGGAGTTGTTCAAGGCCCATAGCTAACGGGAGGCAGTGACCCAACTTTGTAGGTTCTTGTTGTGAGCCTGCCACCTTCTGCCTGCGGCCTTCCCGAGAGCTTATCTGCTGCAGCATGCGGCTTACAGTGAAATAGACGCCGTGATTCTTCTAGTAAAGGAAAATGAAATCCAACTCAAGTTCCTAAGCGATGTTAGGGCTGAGTAACCAAAAGAGAAGTTCTCCTGGCAGTTTTTAATGAGCCACTTTTGCCACTTTTGCAGCCCTTTGAAACTGTAATGCAACTAAGATACACATGCATGTAAAAGACAGTGCCCTGCCTAGACGCATGCTGCCCCAAGTCAGACAGTACATGCAGATCAAACATGTATGCATCTTCTCATGTTGAATATATAAAAGTTTGTAGTGGAGCCTGGTGAGGTAGTACTTGCTAATAAGCCATGCACTAGGGAAACTGAGACAGGAGGAACACAAGTTGGAGGCCAGCCTGGTTTATGAGTGAGTTCAAATCCGTCTCGGTCAACTAATGAGATCTAGTCTCAAAACAAAGGAACACAAACAAAAAGTTACAACCCAAAAGTTGACGATGAACATGAAAGTAGTTAGCTGAGTTATATGACTGCCTTAAACCTGCTTTGTGGTATGTACGTGTATATGTGTGTTTACATATTTGTGGCTTGTGGAGGCCAGAGAACAATCTTGGATGCTTTTTCTCAGGGTCTTTCTACACTATTTTTTGAGACAAGGTTTCTCATTAACCTTGAGTTTGCCAAGGGGGCTAGAATGGTGGCCAGTAAGCCCTAGGGATCTACCCTTCTCTGTCCCAAAGGTTAGAGTTACAATTAGATGCCACCAAGCCAGCTTTTTTATACTGGTTCTGGGAATCGAACTCAAGTCATCAACTAAGCTCCTTAGACTGCTTTAAACCTGTTTCAGAGGACCCTAACCACAAACATTTGAATTAAATCTTCGGATTGATTTTCTTGTTTCTTCAAATTGCAAGATCAGAATTTTTTCTTTTAAATGAAATATTTTGGACAAGAGATTGAGTGCGAATCTCTCTGTAAGCAGAACTGAACGTTTCAAGTGACATTTTGGGAGAGGTGTTGGGCAGTGGAGCAGAGAGAACCCAGGGCTTGCCCAGTGTTCCAAATCTCTAGTCTATCACATACAATCACCATTAGCCTGTAAGTCCTTCACCTGACCACTCAGACAAGAGAAGGAAGTTGCCTGGGCACTCCGCCACCCCACAGCTTCTATTTGGGTACCCCCTTATTTTCACAGTCCTTAACAGATGTTGTGTCATAGGTCAAGAGTATAATTTCCTAAAGATGGAAGCCGGCGAGGTGAGCTCCTTGGGAGAGACCTACGACTTCGACAGCATCATGCACTATGCCCGGAACACCTTCTCAAGGTCAGAACCTTTGCTGTCCCCTCCCCTGCTTTATTGCAGCTGCCTCAGGCTTGGGTCTGAGGAGCCCTGGGGTCTGTGGAGAATGAGCAGGTCTCAGCATGCTCCTTCCATGGCTGGCCTGTCCATCCTTGAAATACAGTGGCCTCTGGGCCGCAGTGAAATATAATCTAATCATGTTCTCACTAATAAGATTGAGTCCCGTCGTGAAGCTGGTGTTCCATCATGCCCTCATGTCACAAGGAGCAAACCGGAAAAGAGAAATTACGGAGAGCTTGTCTGGGAAAAAAAACCCAGAGGCTTTTTGTAAAATTCCCATTGGGTAGGGGCATCTCTAACACACATCTTAAATAAATTGGAAAGTGCTTGCCATTGTCCCAGAAGAGGCTCTGATTATTGAAACCTAGGTTGTGTCAGAGATGGAACGGCTGTAAATCATGGGTTCGTTTTAGAGACAAAGAAAACTAAGCTCCAGCCATCTTGAGAGAGCACAGGTGCCCAGATCAGTGTGAAAACAAGGGTGCAAATTCCCTGGGTCTCAGGGAATGGGTGCTACTCACCAGAGAAGGATGGACCTGCCATTTACCTCAGGCACACTTGGGGTCTGTCCCATGTATGTGGCTGTGCATGGGGACATTAAATATTCTCTATGTTGCTCCTGCCTCTAGGTCACGTAAGTGTTGTGTACACAGAAGGGCACCCTACTAGTCCCAGCTGATAGGTCATTGCAGCTCTTAAAAGAAACACCTGAAAATAAAAGGAGACACTGCAAATATTTTAATCTTCTTACAACTCTCTGTTCATTTCTAATCCTTCCTCCTAGAAAGGTCCAAGGTGGTTTCCAACACACACACACACACCACACACACACACACACACACACACACACACGACAGCAAGGATTGGGAGGAAGACAGAGAGCTCTGATGAAGCCTGAAATAAATTCAGTGCTCAGAATACAGGCCAGTAGGATGTGATGGTTTTGTCAGTGTGGGCAGCAAATCCTCTCATGCTTCCTAGTAGCAAGGCAAAGGAGAAAGTCTCCCTGGGTGTCAGGGTTAAAGTGAGTTGTTGTCTTGGCAGTGTTGGCTCTGGATACGAAACTGATCACTGAGAGTTCTTTGGTTCTTGGGCAAGGAATCCTCTCTGTGAGGTTGCCAGACTAGTAAATCCCAAGTTCCTTAGTGATGCTGTTCATCTGACCTGCCTGCTGCACCCACGCAGGGTTCCCAAACCCCTGAGCAGAGAGTGTTGCTCAATCCAGACCTCTCCTTATGGGATGGGAGGCACAGCCACCCCCTGAGTTCCTTCCATCTCCAGCTTGTGTGCATTGAGCAATCTCTTAGTCTAGAGTAGGTAAGGAGTTGACCAGTGACCCTGTGCATTGCACATAGGAAAGCTGAAGTTCAGGGGCTTCCTCTTCTAGACTGGTCAACTAGACTTGGGGGTCCATTCTGGGGTTGAGGGGTGTTGCTGTGATAAAATACTCTGACAAAAAGCAACTTAAGAAGAATAGAGATATTTCATCTTATACTTCCAGGTCATAGTGTACCATTGAGGGAATTCAGAACAGGAGCTTGATGAAGTAACCATAGAGGAATTCTGTTTTCTGGCTCATTCCATAGGCCCATTCTCTCTCTCTCTCTCTCTCTCTCTCTCTCTCTCTCTCTCTCTCTCT